ATCTTCTCTAAATGGCAGTAGAATTGACATAAACTTTGCCTAAAATCTTAAAAAACTGAAAATAGAATCATAAATTCTAACTTTTCTAACCCAAAGTGCGCAATATACCTACAAATATACAACCTGCTATACTAACAATGTTCATATTATCTTTCATCCTGAAAACACGGCTGAAAAGTGGTTAATCACGTTTATTTAACACATCACTGGTTCACAATATCCCGTACCCGGCTCCTAAATACTTCCTACCCACTGGGGTGAAAAGCGCCTCGAGGTAATATCGTGGGTCGAACAGCGCGATGCGTGACTCTAATAATGACTGTTTAAAATTAATGGTTTGAGTCAAAACTATATTTTTACGGTCACATTTTAGGATATAAATATTACAATAACTATGACGTTTATTAAAGACATCATTGGATCATATATCCCGTAACTCATATACTTCAAACCCACTGGGGTGAAAAGCGCCTCGAGGTAATGCCGTGTCGTGGGTTGAACGGTAGGTACTATGGTTGATTATAATAGTGACTGTTGAAAATCGAAGCAATTGTTCAGAATAGAGAAGAATAGAATCGTAATAAAATACAATGAATTTCTTTACGACTGACTGTTACTCGTAGCTGTTTTTCACTCTACTCGTTGGCTATTAGTACTAACTCGTATATCTGAAATATTCGTCCCTTTGTTAAAAAATGTACACAAAAAAAGTTTAACTTTAAGTCAGATCGTGTCACTTATTTATAAAAATAGCTAAACTCAGTAAAAAGTTAGTTTTCACATTGTTCACAGAGAAGACTGTTTGATTCAAAAGCGATTTGAGAAAAATTAACTGAAATAGGAAAATCAGAGAAAACCTCTTTAATCCTATGTTTAATTTTTCATAGCAAACCATATAAACCTTACATGATTTGCTGGTGACTAAGTAATAAGGTTTTTTTTTTAATTTTCTATTTTAATTCCTATCAAAAATTACATATCATGGTAGTTATCGCAACAAAATGTGGCGCCTTTCCTTCGAGATAAGACAAACACTAAGTTCCCAAGTTGGCACCCGCGGCGCTGTCCGGCTATCGTTCTCCGTCAGCTACAAACTCCAACTTCCCCAAAGCCGTTTAAACTCGATCCCATCCCAAATTGGACGAGTATTTATCTTGAGAGTCGATTTAAAAGCAAAATCACGCGAGCACACGATGCCATTATCTCGCAGGCACGCCCCGCAGGCCGCAGCAACTCTATGAATCTAATCCACTGGATTTAGCCTCTGATTTACAGCCGAGAGAGGGCACGACTGCTCGAAAGAAAAGTGATAATGTCTTAATCCCACCACACTCGAGCCCGCGCCGTCTCCAAATTTTACGGCCGCGCCCAGACGGCACGTTTTGATTTATGATTTCAATAATTAAGAATTCTAAGGTGCAATTTGAATTTGCGATGTCTGAGGGGCCCGCGGGAGGCCGACGCGTGTTTGTTATTGCCCTCGCCGAAAGGGTCCAAGGTTTTACGGCTTACCTTTCATTTTCTAAGGAATTACGCGGTCTACGGCAATTATTAGAAGTTATGATTTGTATTTGAGTTTAACTTTGCTCATACTTCTGCTTCTGATTGTGCTAATAGAGCGATTCAAAGGCAGATTAGAAGGTAGATTTTGGGAGCTGTAAACTAGCGTCGTACCCACAAATAGATGCAAGGAATACAAAGCAGTCACGTAGCGTCTTCCCATAATCCGGCGGTCTGGGTGTTCGCGGAAGACCTCGTGTCGCGCCCTAATCTCGGGCATTACAATTAACGCACCCCAGATAACCCGGCACTCGCCACCCGCTGATAGAGGTCCGCATGAGCACTAGTTTAAACCGGTTAAGGATCCTCCGCCCTCCGGGTTTATCTAATTACCCTACCGAGGTGAACGTAACGCGAAAACGCGCGTTTCGACGCACAGCTGGGGGAAAGTATCGGGCTTGTGGTAATTCTGGGCTATATGCAGTGAGTGTGTAATATCTGAGAAAAAATTATGTGGAAACCTACTTGACATAAAAGCCAGAAACTTATTTTCTACATAATAAAATATTTCGGGCATGGCCCACAATAAGGGTTAGTAATGCTCTACTACTCAATGCCACTACCTAACTTTTTCCTAAAAGCTTTACCTGATTAATCTTAGGCCCAAAATATAAACAATCTCTCTTAATTTTGTTAATCCACATTCGAGAAAAGAACTTAACCTGTAGTCTTACCTACCTACATGTATGCTCGAGTTTAGTCCTTGTTTTCAATGTCGTTTCAGAAGACACTCATTCAACTAATATTATTAGTGAAAAGATCTTATTTGACTACTTACTTGTTGGAAAACTGAATCTCTTCAGCCGTTGATTGAGAGCGCAGCTGTCCAAAGATCCTTCTGGTTTCTAATTTCATTTTCATTTAAAATGTCAAGATCTTATATCCATTTCAATCTGGGTATTAGATCATATAAACTCAAAAACTACGTAATATTTTCTGAACCTGAATTCTATTATACTTTTACCTCCACATTAATGCCCTTTCAACTTTCTCCGTTACAACCCTAACATACCGATTGGATACTTCGCGGACAAACCTCATACCGAAACCGCGCACGTTTCAGTTAACCGTGTTTACAACGTTTGTGACTCGCCCCCCTAGTCACGTACGTAAATGTTTGCGTTCTATCGGTATTCGGGCCTTCCGGTGGGCTGAGTACCTCCGTCAAGGACCATCGATTACCATCTAAGTCGTTCTGGGCGCATATTGCACAACTTTCCGAGTAAGTATGGATCGATAAATCCAACTCGATTGCTCGGGGCATCCTCTTGAATAGCCAAATAGACCCTTAATGAAACCGTTATTAGCGGAATAATTTTGCAATGGTAAAGTTATTTTGGTTGCTGATAAAATAAATATAGCTCTACCTGTATTTGTCTTGTGAATCGCGTCTGAAAATAACTCAAGCCTAGAAACTTTTAAGAGCACAAGAAATAACTTTCGTACTTTATTTACTTTTGAAAGATGTTGAAACATTTTATTTGTGAAGAGGAGGCATATAGATTTTCTTTAGCTCTAATAATAGTATTTTATACGTTTTTAGGTAAAATAAGTTACTTGCGCAAATACAATAAGTTGTGATATAGGTATTTTTGCCAAAGATCTGCTTTTAGTTTTCAATAAAATGAATGACATATCATAATCAAGTCAAACTAAAATTACATTAACCTACCTTAGGCCCGATTCGACCAAACTTTTATCCGAGAATAACTCCTGGTGTAACTGGCGGATTTACAGTTTCAGTATAAGAAATAATTATGTCAAATTGTCGAATAACTGACGATTTATTCTGAGATTAATATTTACTCTTGTTTGATCGAATCGACCCTTAAAAGTAATTCGTCACATTAGATAGGTAGAGTCGCAAAAGAACCGATGTAATAATTTTATAAAAACAAAACAATTGAAATTGCTTCAGATCTGTGTGTGTGAGTTGTTGAGTTTTGTGTGTCTGTGTTCCTTTGTGTGGTGTATTTTCGTCAAAATACTTGACAGAAAAATATATTTTCCAAATGGTATAAATTAACATTATGATGATAAAATTTAAAATACCCATATTAAAGGATTGGTACAAAACGGATTTTGAGATTGATTTTCTGTGTGCTCGTGTTGGTTGCATTGTGTGTGATATTCTGAGTGCTTGTTATCTTTTAAAATGCCTTTAATATATGTATTTTAGTAATTATTTATCAAAACTTTACTAATTAAACTAACTACCATCCTCTGGCCCCTAGTGTCCTATAAATTATACATGAAAACAAAACGTTTCATGATAACTACGTAATCAGAAACTAATAAAGCAACTTAAGCGCATAATGCTAAAAAATCTGAAGCTTATACATAATCTTGTTGTTTTGTGGGAAAAAATATATAAATTGTTTGTTACTCCTATAGTAAAATATCTAGTTTTTTAGAATCTGATTACGTACTTCTTTTTGTACTCCCTGTATAAATAAACCGACTACGTGTAAAATCCTAATTTTAGTTTCTACAGTAATCTAATTAAATCAAATGGGCTAATAATAATAGTCGCAAAAACGTCAAGAAACTGTATTTTGAAAGAAATGTGTAGTGATAAATTACTTAAATATTGCCAAAGGCTTACGTTTTAAAATTATTCTCTAAAATGAACTCTACATTAGTTCATATTGTAAAACGGTAGTTATATTAAATGCTATAAATAAATACTCGTGAAAACTGTACTTCTCAAAATATATCATACGCCAAAAAAGTTTAAGATAAGTTTGAAGTAATATCACCTCCTTTCTGAACTTGAACTAAAAAGACAAAAAAACTTTAGAGTAGTCACTTTGACATTAAAAACTTCCGGAAAAGTTTTGATCGAAGTTTTGTGGAAACTTATTTCTTCGCTCAATTAACCAAATTATTAAGTGTGAAGAGTTTATTCTTGTTTGGTTAGACGTAGAACGGTTTAGGAAATGCGTGGTGCGAAGCTGCTTGGTGACCGTGGTACAGATAGACTTTAAAATTACTTTTTAAAATCGGCACTTCTTTATAATGTATCGTATCGTTTCTACCTAAAGTTATAACATGTTCTGTGGGAAATTTTACTAAAAACTTTTGCTTCGTGACCTAGACAAAGTAACACATAACTTAGAACTTCGTTTCCATTTTGTTTAAAACATTACCTACCCGTATTGTTAACATTTACTCTAGCATTGTCCAAATTACTTGTCTGAAAGCTCTTTGAGTGAAATGGTTTTTACGTGGGAACGATTTTTGTGCTAATAAAATAACAAACAAGTGCTTTAAATGTGTCCACGTGGATTGGAAACGACGAGAATCATTTCCGCGTAAAAATATTCTGATTGTGGATGGAAAATCGCAAGTACTCCTTTCTATTTTTTTGATGTCATTGTTTGTTTCCATTTAGATTCGATGTTTGTCGACAATGCGTCTCATGGGGCTGTTTGTTTCAGGACGGTCCCTCTGAACGCACAGTCGTCCTTGACGCAGATTAGCAAACGAAGGCTCGAGTTCGGCGTGGATGTGGAGACGTTTAGGGTAAACGATCGACGATTGGAGAGACCGGTCAGCGCAAGCTCCATGGACGAGGACGAGGTCGTGGGCAAGCGGCGGCGGAGACTCCTCGACGACGAGCGCCGAGACGAAGTCGACCTCCAACGTCGCCTTCTACCCGCCCACAGACCTTACGCTATTCGGCAGCCAGACGAAGACGACGAATCACTAATTAGAAAAACACAAGCAGCTCTCAAATCTCTCTCAGGCAGCTGGCCGCGAGACCAATCGCCCGCCCACAGCGGTGACGATAATGAAGACGCGAATGGCTTCGAAAATTTGTTCAACGACAAACGAGAAAAAACGTTACCGTCCTCCCCGTCCCCCTCCTCGGAAAGCGCTGACGCCTCGCAAAAAAGTTTCCCGACTTACCATCAAGTCGATGACCAGATAAACGGTGCCAGCGAAAACGAGGAGAGCACGAGAAAGTCGCAGCGGTCAGATAGAGAGAGGAGCTACGAAGACAGTAAACACGCCAAGTACTCTAACAACTATGACGCACCGGGTTTCGACGAGCTGGGCGATTCGTCTTCCAACGAGTTAGAGATAGACATGTCAGATAGAAACGACGATAAATACGACGACGAAAAACCGAGACGTAAAGAAATAGTGTCCCTAAATAAGCAGTCACTGTATAATGCGTACAAGGCAGCTACGGCTGGGCTGCCGTACTCGACGCAGTCTGCGTTCAAGCCGCCTGCGGAGGTGAAGCACAGATTGCACGGGTCGATTCCGAGTGAGCCTTTCGGGGGTTATTCTAACGACCACGAGAAGAGTAATAAAGGGCCGAAGCAGTACACGGTTCTGCAGCCGGCTGGAGCTGGGTCGCGCGCGGCCACGGCGCTGCAGGAGGCGCGGACCGTGCCCTCGGCGCAGCCCGCGCGGGACTCCCGGCCGCTCGCCGCGCTCTCCCCGCCGGTCGTCAGAGGTACCGGTCTCACTCACCTCAAACAACGATAGTCAAACTTTCTTAACGACATGGCCATAACAGAACTCTGCTTCGTGCTATGAACTAAGTCAAAGTTTGTTTCAAGGTCGGCCCGCGATATCTCACCCGAGTCGGGTCGATTCGCGGCTGATTCCGACCGTTGTTATCGAGTTGTAATACTGTTTTACTTTAAATAAAGCTGTTACTATTGAACTAGGAAGTATGTTTGTGACATTAGCATAACATTGAAAGCGACTCCGAAGTTAGAGTGATCAATCTGAATTATCCTAATTCGTGCGAGCGGCTTCCAGCTCGTAAAATCTGGTAACAAATCATTGCACATTTGTAAGTTGTCTCACATGATTTAGTCGGCGGACTAGGTTGGCTCCACCTACGTGGATGTCGTATATAATGTGGAATTTTCCTCGTATTGCCGGGCGATAGCTGGGTTTATGTGAGGCGATGCGCAATAAAAACGGGTCAGAGCGGGCGGTGGGCGGGGCGTGTGCTGAAAGAAAAATTGTGAGGCGCGCAGCCGCCCGGGGTTCTTTATTTTTTCTTTGAAGTTGCAGGGGGGAGTGTCGGGGGGCGTACCTGCGCAGCCCCGCCCGCCGGCACGCCCGCTATCGATCGCGTACGCCCCGCGATGATTAGGAAAATACTAATTTGTGCACCGGTCGATTTGTTCGCAGAAGGCAACAAGTGTCCCACTCCCGGCTGCAATGGGCAGGGCCACGTCACCGGCCTTTACACGCACCATAGAAGGTGAGTACGATGATGACCTCCATGCTTTACAGCGATCATCGTAGGGACTCAAAACTTACCGCTTTTAATGGCGAAAACATTTACAAAGTTGATAACAAACAGGTTCATTAAAGCTAATGCAAAATCATCTCATGACCCTCATTTCAACCCTTATACAAAGTAGCTTCAGATCTGAAACAATTACTCATAAATTAATGCAACTCTATGGTTTTTCCCTTTAGTCTGTCAGGATGCCCAAGAAAGGATAAAGTTACACCTGAGAGTGAGTAAAACAGTTTGGACGTTTGCTGTTGTCATTTGTTTTCCTTCGTTTTTCATTTGTTTCATTTCGTTTTCGTTTTTATACGACGTAGGTGTTTTAGCTGTTGATTTGGTTGTGTATTTCAGTTTATAATTTACATTAGACGTTTAGTTACGTAATGGATGTAATGTATTCGTACAGTTGTCAATTTTATTATTTTTAGCTCATAATTAGATTTTGTTTGTTAGCACTTAGAAAATTAGCCTCAGTTGCACCACCTTAACTTTAAACGTAACCATAACCTTAAACCGTGTAACCATAAATCGGTGTTTTTTGTATGGAGTTTGACAGACTTGACATTTGTTATAGTTAAGATGGCGCAACACAGCCTCAATTAGATTTACTTATTTGTTAGTTACTTAGAGTTTTATGTTAGTTTACTCTTTGAAAGAGACCATTGAACGTAAAGTAACGGCCTAATTTTCCACCAGTCTTGGCGTTGCACGAGACAATCTTGAAGTGCCCCACACCGGGGTGCAACGGCAGGGGTCACGTCAGCTCCAACCGCAGTACGCACAGGTCCCTCTCAGGGTGCCCCACGGCCGCGGCGAGGAAAGCCGCCGCAAGATCGCAGCGAGTTAGACCTGCAGGTACCAACCAACTGTACTACCAACTTGGTATAGGCGTGGCAGTCTTATTTGTACTCTGTAGACATTTCAAGCACAATGGTGCATGGTTTCAATTCTACTTATTTTTAAGGAAACAAGACAGTTACAGTCGGATTAACGTGAAGTCACAGGTTATTTTCAGGATCATTTTGTCGTGGCACGTAATTCGTAACATGGTAAACATTGTGCATAACTGAGTAGAGTCGTGCGATAGGAAGGGTGACATGTGATGTAACAGAGCTATCTCGATATACCTACATAACTGAAGCACAACTGAAATCGCATCTCATATCTTGCTGACATTTTACATGGTGATCATTATGTCAATTAAACTGACTAATTACAGATTCTAAGATGATATAATGTAATATAAATCAACGGTAATACAATTTTCTAGAAGTTACGACGATATTTGATTAAACTTTAGTGTTATATAGTTAAATTCTAATATTTTAGATTAAGTTTACTCTACAACAAATCACTTCCCGATTTACTGACTTCTACTTAATGTGCAGTGTGTTATACAGTGCCAATACAAACCTCAATCACCGCGACGAGCGAAACCGTGAGCGTTGTAAGCGGTGCGAGCGCGCAACGCGAGCGCGAGCGCGAAGCGGCGTCGCCGCGCAGTCCCGCCGTGAAGCGAGAAGCGGCCGAGCTGCTCGTCCCGAAGCGCGAGGCCGCCGAGCCCGAGCGCGACTCCCCCGGCATGGAGACGCGCCACGCCGGGTACGGCGCGCCGCCTGACCAGCGATCGCCGTACGAGCGACCGCCCGATGACCACGTTCGATCCTATAGGTAAGTAAGACAATAGGGGAGGTGCCAGAACTGTCTAGAAGTAGCTTTCCAAGCCGAAGCGCGACTCAATCTTATAGGTAAGAGTCTAAAAGAGTCCAAGAAGTCACTAGCTTCTTTCTGCCGCGTTTCGAGCCCGAGCGCGACTCCCCCGGCATGGAGACGCGCCACGCCGGGTACGGCGCGCCGCCTGACCGATCGCCGTACGAGCGACCGCCCGATGACCACGTTCGATCCTATAGGTAAGCAAGACAAAATACGGGACGCGAAAGAAGTGTCTTATACAGCAACGATAACGTAGCTACGACGCTTGACGTGACTTCGAACACTATAAAGCGAGAAGCGACCGAGCTGCTCGTCCCGAAGCGCGAGGCCGCCGAGCCCGAGCGCGACTCCCCCGGCATGGAGACGCGCCACGCCGGGTACGGCGCGCCGCCCGACCAGCGATCGCCGTACGAGCGACCGCCTGATGACCACGTTCGATCCTATAGGTAAGTAAGACAATAGGGGAGGTGCGAGAACTGTCTAGAAGTAGCTTTCCAAGCCGAAGCGCGACTCAGTCTTATAGGTAAGAGTCTAAAAGACTCCAAGAAGTCACTAGCTTCTTTCTGCCGCGTTTCGAGCCCGAGCGCGACTCCCCCGGCATGGAGACGCGCCACGCCGGGTACGGCGCGCCGCCCGACCAGCGATCGCCGTACGAGCGACTGCCCGATGACCACGTTCGATCCTATAGGTAAGCAAGACAAAATACGGGACGCGAAAGAAGTGTCTTATACAGCAACGATAACGTAGCTACGACGCTTGACGTGACTTCGAACACTATAAAGCGAGAAGCGACCGAGCTGCTCGTCCCGATGCGCGAGGTCGCCGAGCCTAAGCCCGACCAGTGATCGCCGTACGAGCAGCCGCTGATGATGACCACCTTTGATGATATAGGTAAGCAATATGGAAAAAGTGAGAAACGACTCCAATGACCCCAAAGCGCGAGACCGCCGACCTACCCCACAACATTGATATTTTAGTTCTTCTAACTCAATAACAAATGCTGTAGCTATAAGTTGTACATAACACTTATTGTTTGCCATAAATCCCACGATCGTATGACTAGGAAATAAATAGTATACCTAATGATATCTCTGTCCTTAGCCAAATGAACGAAACACGGTACGGCTACGAATCCCGGTGCTACGAGGGCGCCCCTGCCTTCGAGCGGTACGACCCTGCACAATGTCCGCAGCGGCCGTACGGCTGGGAGGAGGAACGGTACCACGACCCCCACCTCCCCACGCCTATGAAAACCGACCAGTCCGAGGAGACCAGCTCCGGCCCTATATACCCTAGGTGAGTCATATACCTTCTCCATTGATGCCTTATCTTATGTGGTAAACGAGCCTCAGACTTGCTGTAGGATCTAGTAAGGATAGAATCCAATTGATTGACTTGAACGGTGACTCCTCTATCCAGACCAATGTACCACTACGAAACGAGTAGCGGCGTAGGGGGCGTGGGTGGCGTGGCTGCGATGGGCCCCGGCGTGCCCCCCGGGTTCTCGGCCATCAACCTGTCCGTGAAGATAGCGGCGGCGCAGGCGCAGCGGCCGCGGAGCCCCACTCCCCGGGACCCCAGGGACCCGCGTCCAGTCATAGATCTGTCCACGTCCAGTGGGAGTCCACAGGTGAGGCGGTAGAGGCGATTGCTTGGTAGATGGGACTGAACATTAAATGAACATAGAGTGAAAGATTCCATATAAAAGAAAATGAGTTATTAATCTCTTGACTACTTGACGTCGTTTCCAACTTTAACTCTTTACCCTGTACACTCGATTTAACATCCACATGTGACTTGAGTTGCTGAGAGTAGCTTAGCTGACAATGAATTCTCTAAATAATGAAACGGGATATTTTGCAATAGAAGAAAAATATCTCCAAATAACTGTTGAACTATTCAGTCCCAGCAATCACTCTTGCAAACTTACTAACTAAACGAGTATCAAAAACCTTACTAAACTCTGTTGACAGGGTCCATACGCGTCGCCGGTGTATACGAGCGCGGGCGGCGGCAGCGGCGGCGCCCGGGGCAGCCCCCAACCGGGGGCTTCGCCCCAGCTCACCGCCAGCCCCCAGGTGCCCAGCCCGCAGGGGCAGACCCTCGATCTTAGCGTGTCACGTTTACCACATAGGTGAGGCTTTAGGATGTTTTCAGGGCTGTTTTTACTAGCTAAAACTTCTCTTCTCTGCTCCTCAAGACAGCAAAGACAGCAGTCTACAGTTCACCACTTAATAATGTTGAGATTTATCTTTATGATTTTGAATAGATGTCGCGAAGTTTCAGATGTAAATTTTAACATTGTGAGTTTATTCATATTTCCTGATTCTAATTCCAAATCGTATCATTTTTACACCGGTAGTATTATTTTTTAAAGAAAAACCTTAATGCTCCGCCTTTGTTGACTTTTCCTAGTTACAACTATTAAGTTCAAATGCACTAAACAACACTTTTCTTGTCCATAGTCGCAGTTTCCCTGGTGGCGTCTCGTACAGTCGAGAGTCAACGCCAGACAGTGGTGGTAGTCATCCGTACTTAGAAGCATACCATCGAGACACTGCTGGTGAGTTCCTCGTATATTTATACCAAAATATACCTTATAATAAACCAATAACGTTACTTTTAGAAATAATAAAAGTGTCGTAACAAATCTTTACAGCGTTAAATAACAAAAATTCCAATGCGTAGAGACAAACCCTATTACGTAGCAAGCAGTTAGTGCCTTATTACCATCCAGAGCCCCATTTTCGTCTAACATACTCCCTGTAAAGACTGACACACATACGCCTCGGTATTTCGCAAAACACGACGCTACAAATTAAAACGAGACCGCATTTATCGCCGCAGCGGCGCCGCTGCGTTGCCGCAAACCGACAATGCGGACGTAATCCGCTGAGCAAGTGCGGGAAAAGGGAGCCAGGGCCGTATTTAGGACTACCGTTTATCTATGGACCTGATTCAATAAAATATTTCATGTTTTATATTAGGATTAGATTATCGTGCAATTTAACTGTAACATACCTTGGATCAACAGAAGACATTAATAGAGCTGAAAAACGCCTTGTGATAATTTTAGTGTTAAACAGATACCGATTCTTTTCTACTTTTAACTATCTTGAATTGTTGCGTTTAGTGATAAAATACTGTAAGTTAAAGATAAAAAGAAAACAACAAAATAATAACATTTAAAAGTGTTTTATTATACAAAAATGAGATCCAGGGATTAATATTTTGGACCCCTTCACCTACCCTGGTTCCGGCCCCATATCCAGGGATTGCGCGGTTTTTGTGCCCCCACACTCGCATCGCACACGGAGTCAACGCTTAATTAGAATTGTAGGAAATATCTTGAGTTGTAATGCGAAGGTCGAGTCTGCCGTCAAATTTTGAATTTGCATTTCATATTTCAGTTTACTCGTGAATATTTTTATGGTAGCGACATTCCAGCATTAACATTTTAAATGTGAACTAAAACGTAGCTGTTTTAATCTTCTTGATAAGTAGGTTTATGAAAATATTGTAGATTATTTAGTAGTGTAGAGAAAGACAACCGAGTTCGGTTTTCAATTGGAGCCTTATCGATTGCATGCGAGCGGCGCAGATCTAAATCCTTGGAGGAGGCCTTTGTCCAGCTGTGAAACGAAGGAACGAACGAGTGGAAACTATTACTAATGCAATGAAACATTACCAGATGAATTGGCTAATAGCCAGCCAATAGCCCAGCTTTTCCAAACATTTGTATGAATAAGCATTTACGAATAAGAGTCAAAATATTCCAGCAACTTGTATTTTATGTACTTGGCCGAGGATATGAAGCCATGACTCACAATTTAGGAATTGTTGTAGCCAATAAAATGTCTTTATTATCATGCAGAGTCAAATTAAAATCTGTCTCAAATGAGTTAATTACGCATTCAGAATTTCAGACGCACCCTATCTGACAATACCTACCTCGTCTCTACATAACACTTACATAATTAGGTCTCTTGCCAAACAAAAATACGCTATACTTCATTCTAAATTAAAGGTTCGGCCAAACCAACGCGATCATACCGCGATCAGCCGGCGTGCAGCGATGGCGACCAGACCTAAATGCATTGATCGCCATCGCTGCACGCCGGTTGATCGCGTGAGATCGCAATGGTTTGGCCGAACCTTAAAACAAATTACCTTACATGCTGACTAGGTACTTAGTTTAATAACTAGGTCTCATTCCGCATTCAAGAGAGTCTCAAGGTTAGCACAAGTTACAATGGCATGTCCTTATTGTATGAATCTGGTTTATACAGTCCTATAATAAAAAATATTAATAACGTTAGGGCTTCAGGGTGGTACCAACTTACGTTGGAAGAATGAAACAAACTTACTATAGGTAATGTCTGCCTATAGAGGGTCCATGAGATGACTTCACATTGTTAAAGACTCTTTCTTAAAGCGATTCTAAACACTACCCGCATTCAGAGAGGCTTCCCGTGACCTTTGCCAGATCGTCGATCCACCTAGTGGGAGGCCTGCCCACACTTCATCGCCACTCGAGAACTTTTCTGCCCCAACGGCCATCAGCTCTACAAGTTTCTGCCCTGCCCACTGCCTCTTGAGGCAACTTTGATCAATCCATGATCCTACCTGAAATTGGAGGCATATGGTCACCATTGCCCGGTGATGCTGCGACACCTGCAGCAATAGTCAGTTCAAAAGTCAAGCATCAAGAACTCATTGTAAATCTTCGTTTCTGCCCTGCCCACTGCCTGTTGAGGCAACTTTGATCAATCCATGATCCTACCTGAAATTGGAGGCATACGGTCACCATTGTCCGGTGACGCTGCGAAACCTGCAGCAATAGTCAGTTCAAAAGTCAAGCATCAAGAACTCATTGTAAATCTTCACCAGGTTACGGAGGTGTCAGTCCACACCCAGTGGCTGGTTACGGCCTAGCCCAGCCGGACTACGCAGCGGCCGCCGCAGCGGCAGGCTACGGCGGTTACCAGTACCAGTGCGGCGCATACCCCCCACCGCCTGCCTACCCGCCGCACGCGCCGCCCTACTCGCCGCCCTGCTACATGCCACCGCCGCACGCGCCGCACGACAAACCTAAAGACAGCAGGTGAATATGCTAGCCGTATTTGATATACAGGGTGTTAGGTAAATAGGTATATGAGCCGACACTAGCCCATGTTAACATGGGCATATAATTAAATGGTATGGTGAAGTCAGAAAATTTATATCTTCATTTTAATTATTTTAATTTTCATACAAACCGGATTTTATAACATTCATTTTGTATGATAATTAAAAAAAATAAAATGATGATATCAAATTTCTGACTGATGTTCTTCTTCTTGTCGAGTCGATAACAAACCTACACAGTGTCAGCCCAAAACTCCGCCGCACGAATGGCGTTGTCAGTAGCCTTCATTAAATCTTCCTTAATTTTTGATAATTATGTTACGAATCCAAGAAATGTTCTATGTTCTTCTGATTAATTTCGTTGCGGTTCCAACGACAGTTTATTTTCCCCGGGACAAACTTGACCTTTACTGGTTGGGGTTTTATTGGCGTTCAAGCTGTAGATCCTGGCTACACAGGAGTTGGAGCGGTGGGAATAGTCTTGTAATAGCCATACTTGAGTTCTCCATATTTTCTTTACCAGCTAGCCTCGGGATTTTTTTGTGGTCCATTTTAGACGATAAGCCCGTTTGTTCTCTAAAATCGACGATAAGATTATATCACGGCGCGTACCTTGGGCCGGTGGTATAGACCTAGAAGTTTCTTAAAACACTTCTTAAAGTAGTTTTATTCTGTCAGGTAACTAAAGGGTTCACACAGCAATCCAGCGGTCAACAGTGTCACAAAATTCTTTTATTTTGTGTGCACATACGGTGGCTACAGTATTAAGTTTAATTTTAAGTGTTTTCTTGTCATTTGTGGTGGGCAGTTATCATGAAACTTATTTAAACACTCCTACATCATCGTCTCCTATAGGCGAAAGACATACATTTGTCTAAAAATGTCTTCTTCTAATTAGGTAGGTAGGTATCTTCTCATATTTTATCCATTAAGCTACTAAGCAATTTACTGGTATTACAGATTAAACTATTAACGAAAACATTAATAATAATCATCCATTGAACAAAATTACTTCCTATCTGTTTAAGATTAGCTAAACCAAACCGCTTTAATTGTAACAATTTATTTTGTATTTTTAATTTAATGCATCAATTCTCCAAACAACTAACATTCTTAAAGTTATTAATGCTAATATTGTGCTCATAAAATATAACTAACAAATCAAATGAAACGTTCATAAAGCAATTTATACCGTAACGATTTCTATTAATAAGAATAAACCGGTGCGTAACCAAACAACGAACCGACGCGATGACGTCACTTATTATACTTTTGAATTAGTTCGGACGCGCGCGCCATTTTGTTTGCATTTGATTGGATGGAACTTGCCGTTGCCAGCGTATTTGGATACGCGCCGAGAAAGGTTTTCGCTTACTTAGCAACCGCGTAATCGCGATAATATGTTATTTCATCATAATAAAAATATCTGTTTATATTATGAATTATTATGTATAAATATTGATAAAAAAAAAAACAAAGAAAACAAATACTTCTTACTAACCTAACGTTCAAATTTTTTAAACTTTCAACCAAGTTTATCACTATATCAAAATAAGCGCAATACAATTCGCAAACGAGTTTTTATAATGTCAGATTTAACCGCGCGTCGTTTCAATGAAGGGCACAGCACAAGGTGTTAGTTGGGCAGGTAAGTTGCAACCGTCTCTTTCTGACAGTTAAGAATGAAAAGAAATGGAGCACCCATTCAAATAACCCTTGGTAAAATGCCATGGCACCCCTCCACTGACTGTGCTTCTCAAGACGCGTACGTTCGAATACCTGCCTAAACTTCATTTTTATTTTTATTCGTTACTAAAACTATAAAAACTGTATTATTTATTTTTCTAAACTAAAGAATTTATTAGTTAAGTATGGAAGTTATTAATACATAAACGACAATTATATACAATCGTTTTCTAATTTGACAGTTGAAAAGATTAACAAAAGTTGTGGCCGGTGCGTCATTTCGTGTGAGTTTTCGAACGTGCTGTCACAGTCTGTGGATCAGTCTAAATATACATGCGCCCGCGCAGGCGCGCTCCACGCCGAATGGTGAACGAAAACGCCAGATAAAAGTTTTTGTACGATAAGATATACACATATTACAATCTCAGTGCGTGTTTTGTGAGTTCTACGACCATTGGAAACACCGACATGATGCGAAACAGGTAAGATTCAAAACTTTTATAACTTTGCAAAACTTTTCGTTTGGATCGATTATTCGAGACGTAAACAACAATGACATAAAATACGAATAACTTTTGTAAACACTTTGCCAGTAGTTTTAACAGTAGTAGATAACGACCTTTTAAAAGTTTGATCAAAAATTCCGTTGTGTAAACACGTTAGGTTAATTTTTTAACGAAAATAGTTTAATGTCTGTCATTAAGGTCGAGTTTGCATGAGTTGGCGTAACTTTTTTCAATGTTCTTGAAGCTAACGAATGCGTTGAGCGTTCGGCGGCCGTTCGGGTTTGTTTTTTTTTCTTTCGCTATTGTATCTTTTGTTTTGGCGTTTTGTTTGATTGTTTTTTGTTTTGGCATAGTTTGGAACGCGAGCACATGCTTAGACTGATTTGCCGGATTCAAGAGTCCCGTGAGCCGCCGCCGAAGGCGTTGCATTGTCCGGTGGAGAACTGCGACGGCTCGGGACACATCTCGGGCAACTTCTCCTCGCATCGCAGGCAAGCGCACGCCGAACATCATATTCTGTTCGACTTACTAACCGTTCTCACGAGATACAGGGCTGAACAAAGTTTTTACAATTACTTTTGAACACTTAACTTTATGAAACTTTTTAAAGTTACTCCAAAAGTTGAAACGGCTATACCTACCTAACCTTGAAATTTTTACTTTCTACCATTATTAACATCTGGAACATGTTTTTAAGTTCATAAACATCTGACTTGGGCAGGTAATAATACATTAAGTATGATGCGTGGTATATTTTCAAAAGTTTTTTAAAGTAAATAAACTTGTGGGATTTAACACTTCTTAAAGGGCCCAATTTTATTGAAACTTTTGTCTGAATTAGTACATTTTATGAATGGACCTGCTAACCTTAAAAATAAAACATAGGTAGGTAAACCTACCTACTTCATGAATTTGTCTAGTAGCAACTTTTAAGCATTTACTTATCCTTATTGGACGCGTGGTATTTTATTTTAATAAACAAAAGACCGGAAGTGTAAAATACTTACAGATGTAGTCTTATCAAGCTAAACACTGATTCATCTTATGTACCTACCTACTTACCTACTTAGTTATAATAGATTCTATTTTGGAACAAAAATGTTTACCTGATGATGCTTTTTCATGCTTAATAATAATTAAAGTTTCCTACTGTAAAACATTATGTAGGTTAACAATTATGTTACTTTGAGCGTGTTATTATCAGTATTTGACGTATTTATTTACACTTTCTATTTGCGTGGTTGACTGGTTTTTATACATATAGCATTGGTTGTTAATGTTCCTTTCAACCTTAATTGTCTAAACAATTTAGTTCTTGTAGATAACTCACTACATATAATATTGTGAGGTCGCTTCTTTTAAAACATTTTAAACTTTGCCAGTCTTTTAGTTTAAAAAAAACTATTTATTTTAATTATTTGACAACCCTAGAATGTTAACCTATATGCAGTACATTTATGCCGCCATATTAGGGGCAATCTCGCCCCTGTTGGCAATTTGCGCATTTCCGAGCTGCGCATATCGCGACAGGACCCGTCACTCGTCCCGTGGGTACGTAGGGCACGCATTAGGGAACGATGTGTAATAATATCAAACGTGTAGTGTAAGTAGGTATAACTCGATTTGAGTATTTGCCAAGTATGGTTTGGCATGTTCCAAACAACATTCTCTCTAATAATCTGTGTTCCAAACTTTCAAACTTGGTTACAGATAATAATTTTTCAAATTCAAAGTGAGGCATCCCAGGGCCGAACTTAGGGTACCACCAGGACTAGATAAATAAATAAAGCCACACAGAATTATATTTTTTCAAATTGTAAGTCACCCCAGAGTCGAACTTAGGGGGTCACCAAGGCTAGACACAAGTAAAACTTGTGATCGATAGGTACCTACCTAATTGTCGTGGACTGTAAAGTCTTAATGGGTCCGTGGCCGAGTCCCCCTGTGTTCGACGCACCCGTGGGCGACGCCCCCGATCAGATAGAAGCAATTTTTAATCAAATGTACAGTCAGTCACAAATATATTTATAAACGAATAAATATTTATACTGATCGTACAAATAAATGTTTAATATTATTTTACCATAATGATACCTAAAAATATAATAGGTTTTATTTTAACCTATCATATTTTATCATAGGTTTTATTTACCTATAATAACATGTAAATCGTTTTACCTAATCAAAATAATTGTAACAATCAGTATTTAAAATAACTCTACTCTCTCTACATTTAACTAACTACAAATAAAAGTTTTAATTATAAAAGTTTCAAGTATTTTTAACAAAAAATTAAATACATCATTTTAAATAACGTCAAACATGCATGGTTTTCGTTGACTGTACTTAGTGCAAAAGCCAAAAAAAATATGATATTAAATTTATTTAAATCGGGGGCTTCAACCACGCGTGCGTCGAATACTGGGGGACTCGGCCACGGACCCGTCTTAATTCCCTTAATTAAGTGTTTTTAAGAAATCGCTAACTAATTATAAAAAAAATTAAATGTGAAATCTCATGAATAAATTTTAATTCATCAACTAATTACTTACTTATTTTTACCTTTGCAAACGATTGTAGCTAAGCAAAGAGTTAAATGCTCCAATTTCATCATTCCAATACTAACATTAAACCATTTTTCCTTCTGTTTTACCGCGTCAATGTAATCATAATAAAACAACGTGCTGTGCGATAATACATTATTAGCTCATTTATCCTTCATGTTTAACTAATATTGCCTTCAATGTTTTAAAGTTTCTTAGTTACCTATGTATAACTTTTAAAAACAATTTTCTTATTTAAAAAAGATTTGCTATGTACTCGTATAAGTATGTAATTAAATGTTATGATGCAATCTAATTCTCTATTTAGGTATTTAAAAAATTTGAAACAATAAAACATTGTCAGCAAGCTGAAAAAACCTTCTTGGTGTGGAAAATGCACACTAGCTACTTATAAAATTTGCCAATTTGCTTGTAAAAATAATTATGCAATTTCCTGTTTTTTTATTTCAACAAAATAATATTCACCTGTTAAATTTACTAAATACATATAGGCGTACTATAAGTATATGTATTTAGGTATTGCTTACTATCAACAGTATGATAAGATAATATGAAAGGAAAGTAGTTCGGTATGCATATTCATTTTGTAACCATACCTAGCTAAGTACGTACATCTGCATATAATGCAAAATTTTACATTTAACAAAGTGCATACGGGTAGGTAAGTAGTGTATTTTAATCATAAAGTTATTTTTTTTAGAAGTTTTATTTAAGATTAAAAGAAATAACGCTTTGATATAAGTACACTATGAGACCTTTATGGTGTTAAAAATCAAAGTGATTTTGGTTATTTAAAAGTATGTAGGGTAAGTTTAGCCAAATGAAATAAGGAAGTGTCATTTTTAGTATCTACCATGAAAACTGCCCACCACTACTATTCTAAGAAAACATAAACACTTCAAGAGTTACATAAATTGCATGCTACTAATCCTGTAACAATAATATTATGAACTTACGATTTTGTTTACCCTAATCATTTGTTCTTCTTGTGCTAAATAAAAGCCTTTACTGTTTTTCTTCCATTGATTTGTGACATTACATGAACCGTAAGCTGCAACAAGGTACCCCGCCACGCCATTGTAAGCAGTTTGTATATGTGCAGCCTGTCCGGGTGTCCGCGCGCCGACCGCTCGCAGCTGCAGCCGCACTCCCAGGAGCTGAAGTGTCCGACGCCCGGCTGCGACGGTTCCGGACACGTCACCGGGAACTACTCCTCCCACCGCTCGCTGTCCGGCTGTCCGAGAGCCAACAAGCCCAAGAGCAAGCCGCGAGATGGACAGGATTCTGAACCGCTCAGGTAACATTGCTTTTTGGGATATGGGTATGGATCGGTGGTATTTGGGTTGTAGATGCAGTACAGATACAGTTTTAAAAGTAGATGTTCACATTTGACAGTTTCATGTGGGTCTTACTTAATTTTTTAAAGTATTAAAGGCAATCGCTGGTAAAGTGAGCATCCATTTTGAAGCTAATCTTACTTTGACAAAAAGGTGGTGGATAATTTGTAGGGTTCATAAGAGACAAGACAATGTCATAATAAGTAAAGCAGAATAAGCATTACAATCGGTTCTGTCTACCTTATTCTTCATTGTCTTCTCTGTATCACTGTGGGGCTATTCTGTTTCTTATGGGCAAAGTAGGTATTAGTATTGTTTCTCGGTGTCGGTTGAATGATGAATATGATACTCGGTGGAGCATCATTTTCACATTTACATACTGTACGTAACCAAACACTGTCAAATTTATTATGTAACATATTTACATGTAATATTCTAACACGCACGTCATTATAGTTTACCTACATTTCTAATAGAATCTTATAATACTGTAATATAATAATTATGTTGCCTGCTTTTGCGACCCTTTACAATGAGTTTCTTGGTTATTTGCACGCTGCTTAGATGCCCTATACCGGGCTGTGACGGGTCTGGACACGCTACAGGGAAATTCTTATCGCATCGAAGGTAAGGGTTCAATATCTGAAACTGTATGTAAAGTAGAGTATTTGTAAGTTTTGGTTGAGGCATTCGAGCCTTGTTAATTATTTGTTGGGATGTTTACAAATCAGAAGGCTGGTGAAATCCTTAATTATGAAGTAAGTATGGAGTAGTCAGACCTTTGCTGTACTATCAAAATATTGTCAGAAAAGGATTACTAGATCCTTACTCTATCAACAAAGTTGCTGTCATTAGTAAGGATGCTATGAGAGTAAATTTCCTATGGCCTATTGTCTTCATCCCATCGAATTCCGATAAGGCTCTGAATCCGGGTTAATAGTTCCAAATTTAAACCTGCAGTTCCCTAATATTTCCGATTGAACTCTCCAGTGCCTCTGGCTGCCCGATCGCCAACCGAAACAAGATGCGAGTACTTGAAAGCGGCGGCACCGTGGAGCAGCACAAAGCAGCCGTGGCGGCGGCGGCTTCGGCCATCAAGTTTGATGGGGTCAACTGCCCCACCCCCGGCTGCGATGGGTCGGGTCACCTGAACGGGTCTTTTTTGACCCATCGGTCGCTGTCTGGCTGCCCCATAGCGGGCGCGGCGACTCCCACGCCGCAGCCGAAGAAACCGAAGTACCCAGATGACATCACGCCGCTCTACCCCAAACCTTATTCAGGTAAATATTATATTTCAACATTAATACCGAGTCAACAGGGTAGAGAAATAATTGTTAAAATACAAGAAATGCAGCAGTACTACAACAAAAAATAGAAAGTTACGTAGATAGGTTGTCAGTTATAAAACTATTGAGTAACTTAATCGAAAACATACACGAGTACTTGAAATATTTAGAAGTGAGTCAAAAATATTTATCATATTCCTAGTAGGTGGGTAAGTAGTTAGTTATGCGGTGCTGTTGTCTACTGTACTACTCTCAACAACTACTGTAGATTGTAATTGACTCTGTTCTGGTTCTCATAATGTTGATTTAATAGACCCCAATTTGCACTAATATATCGAGCAGTCCAGTGACTGTTTGCAGAATGTTTACAAAACTTCTCCAACAGCAATTTTTAGTACTTCTTTATTGTTTTTAAACATAATTTCCATATTGCTTAAACCTAGAAAGTGCCACACGTTTTAACAAAACCATACACAGTATTAGCCATAATAGCCTCTCCTACTACAGAGCCCCCAGGCTACAGGGGCCCCCAGGGCTGCAGGTCTAGTTTTTTATTTTCATACACACATCTGATAATAAAAAAACGCTATCGCTAACTTCAGGTATGGACATGAATATGCAGACCGGCAACGGGGAAGACCTGATGACCCTCGAGCAGGAGATCACGGAGCTCCAGCGTGAGAACGCGCGCGTCGAGTCGCAGATGATGCGTCTGAAGTCAGACATCAACGCCATGGAGACGCATCTCAGCCACGGAGAAAGGGTGAGGGCTCTTGAATGATAATGTGGTGAAAGGTCATTGACAGGACGGGGCTGTATTAAGGGCGGCGAGGTCCCCGAAAATTGAAAACATTCGTTTTCAAAGTTATTGTCAAAGTCCATACTTCAATGACCTTTTATTTACCTCTTTGCCATTTCTTTGTTAAGTATTTATTTATAGGTACTTTTAATTGAAATTCCCTAATCATTAATGAAAGTCAAAATAAATAATCCCGATTCCATTTTTTAAAATGGATATGTCTAAATACCTACTTAGTCTAAAATATCTTATTTTGTAATTCGATATTTTTGTCCGTCAACTTAGATGGTACTGTCATGGCTTCAAACATCCAACCTTGAGTGCTCCTAACACACCACCTAGTGAGTACCATTAATTTGTTCCTTACTTTATGGTACCGCTAATTGAAGCCGATAATTATTTTTCGTTCAGTAGATAACTGTCATAAGCGTCGAAGTTATCCTTCTAATTAAATGATGAAAATGTATCTTTGCAGGAAAATCAGGCCATTCTTCAGCGGAATAACAACTTGAACGAGTACTACGAGAGCTTGCGCAACAATGTGATCACTCTGCTTGAGCACGTGCGTATCCCCGGAGGGGGCACGGCGCCGGTAAGCGCTGCTGGGGGCACGCCCGGAGCGCCCCCGCCACCCGGACCCGGCGAAAAGCCAGCCCACGACAACTTCGATTCTTACCTCACCAAGCTACAAACACTCTGCTCCCCTGATGGCTACTGTCCCGACGAGAACCGACCCATCTACGAAACTGTTAAGAACGCGCTTCAAGACTTTACAGTGCTCCCTACGCCCATTTAAGGTTCACAAAGCGCCGCTGATTCCGAACGACAGTGAATCTAACGTGACGAACAGCGGAGCTTGATCAGTGAAATAAAATAAATAAGACTCGTGAAAGTGATTATACGTTATACCAAAGAACAGACGAGATACTGAATAATTTCTTTACATGACTGTACAGTGCTGAACTTTAGCCTACAGACATTTATGTGTTCTACTATTAGCTAAACGATGTCTGTTTTGTAAACCGTTGTATACGATGTGTGACTTGTTTATGACGTCACGTCAGCAACTGAAGATTCATTCGACTTTTTATCGATAAGATGGACTTATTAAATTAAGACCTAAATAAATTTTTAATATTGTTACTCGTATGCTTAAAATTAATGTAAGTAATTGTTAGGGAAAGTTTATACTACTGTATGTAAGTGATTTTAGCCCCACAGACGCATTAAATGTTCGATTATGTAAATATTGTACCTAAATATCGATATAATAAACGATTATGGAAAAATTCTGGCTACGGCCAAAATCGGTCAGTATTAGTGGAATTCTAAAACAGGCCCTGAAGTGTATCAACCAAAAATACATAGTTTTAAGTGGAAACTGTTAATCTGTCTAAGTTCTTATACTGGGATTGTGCCAAATGCTTCAAATCACAGCAGCTCCCATTCGCTGATATTTAAGACTAAAATATTGACATAGAAATAATAAACGGTGTAAACAAGATTAAACTCCTAGGACACTCTAGTCAGTTTTTGTAAATAATTGTGAATAAATAGTTGTCACGTCATAGGGACGTTTTTATTTGTATTAGGAAATAACGAGATCTCATTAGATCGAGTAAGTTAATAATTCACTCATTAATTAATAACCAATTTTAGGGAATAAATTGATGATTTCTTTGTTAGCCAATGTTCACTTGCTGTGATTATGTTATGACGTGTTACTTATTTATTGTTACCTTTACGGAATGTGATAGCTTATTAAACTCGGTTAGTGTTACTTTGCATACCTTAGTTACGAGCTTATACAGTGTGCAATTATGTTGAGAATGATGCTTTTTGTTGTAATTTTACTCTTTTTTCACTCTTACGAATCACATTGGTACACAGAGACGAATAACATATTCACATTATAATACTAAAACCTATTACTATGTTACTACTCTGATTGTCATATACGTTTCTGTAAAATATTGAGTATGTGTTGTTAAAGAGAATAAAAATAATAAATACCGAATTTGTCGCATTCTGTTTACTTCTTTCCCCGATAAGTATTAATTAAAAATTAATAAAAATTCTTTTGACTTTGTTAAAAGAAAGAAAGAAAGTCATAAATTAATAAAAAGGTAAACGATACGCCTATTTGGACGTCATTAACTGGATGCATGCTAGGAAATTATTATGGGAGACCCATCCTATGTTCAGCAGTGGACATTTTGTGTCTGAAATGATGATGGTGATTTTATGCTTCAATATTGACATGGTATGAATTACCATAATGGATAGTAGGACTTCTCAAATACCATTTTGTTATAATAACAACTAAAACATTGAAAAAATTTTATAAAAAAAAATAAAACCGACTCCAAAAAACCTACACTAAAACGTAGAAAAATAATTACTAATTACCTACTTATTTATTAGGACGAATTATTAATATTTATGTAGGTATACCATGATTGATACTTCTGGAGTCGGTGCCAAGATTATGAAACATGTAAAGTTTGCCTGCACCGACTCCAAAAGTATCAATCATGGTATACCTACATAAATATTAATAATATAAATTGGTTCATAATCGGCGGAGATATTGCATATAAAAAAGTTCATCCCCAATTTTCCACCCTTGGGGGTTGTTTTTTTTATTATTAAATTTAAATGGGACCACCCTCGAGGTATTACCTATACGCCGAAAAAAGATTTGTTCAAATCGGTTCATAATTGGCGGAGTTATCGCGTAACAAACATAGAAAAAAAAAACATACGGGTCGAATTGAGAACCTCCTCCTTTTTTGAAGTCGGTTGAAAATATTGTGTGCGGTATTTCATAGATAGCAATAGACTGACAGCTAACAGCTACGCACAGCTCACGCATCTCCTCTCGTCTCAGCACCGCTGCGCTCTTCTCCGCTCCGCTTTGGTGGAAATAGCCTGCCAGCTTCGTCGTACATCTCTCGTCTCCGTACCGCTCTGCTTTGGTGGAAACCGGGCCTAAGGCTGATAGTCGATCCCCTTTGCCAAGGGAGTGTGGCCGTGGGTCATGTTTGGTATATAAGAATATTAGGTACCTATTTCATGGGTAGTGTAGGGTAATGGTGGTAGGGTTAATACTGGGACGTGTAAAAGTGCTTTTTAAGAGCCTATATAAATGACTTTTTAGTTTTTTTCATATAACTCTTAACTTTCACAATTCGTATTCGTGCTAGGGAAGAAATGCCAAACTTTTGCGTATTTTCCTTTAAATAGAGATCTGAAATGTTGAATCTCCCATAGGATAATAAATTAATTCATATCATTTTTTTAAACGAGCCATAGACTATGAACCATAGAGCAATGATTCTCATCGACAAAAATATCGATAGTGTCTCAGCGCCATCAGCTGTTACACAAATGTCATTACCTCGTCCCCCTCAGGAAATGGCGAAATTTTTTTGTATGGAAATAAACGCGCGCTGCTACTCCTGTTATTTCTGCTCTCTGGGTCGAATTGAGAACCTCCTCCTTTTTTGAAGTCGGTTGAAAAAAAAAGATGCTAAACAAACTCTGCCTGCATTAATGATTCATTTAGGTTTGAACACATTAAATTAATGTTCAAAAAGTAAAATAAGGTCCATTGGATTTGGTTTTCATGATGTTTCCTTGTCGTAATTGTGATGTCTTAAAAAAAGTAATGTCAATGGAGCGACACTCTTTTATGCTCTTTGGGAGCGACCCTGAGTTCGTCTCTGTCAGTTCTGTCAATGTCAAAAGCAAAGTGTAAACAAGCAATACACGTGTGTTTTTACAGATTAATTTTAATATAACAATTTAATTTTTAAGATTATTTACGTAAAAATGAAGGTTGAAAAGAAGGTAAATGATTCTTAAATCATTGAACATATAAAAATTTCTATAGACCAGTGTTAATTTTTAATAACCTTTACAGAAACGTTATTTCCAAAGTGAAGACGAGAAGAAGCCCGTAATAAATAAAGATAATGTTGAAGTATACACCATCAATACTAAACAAACTGCTCGTAAGCATAAGAAAACAAAAAACGTAAGTATTATTCCAAATCAACTACTTTTAGGGAATGTCTCAATGGTATTTTAGAACCACAGGTTTTCCATTGATAAATTTTATTTGGCCATAAGATAATGGCTCAAACTAGCCTCCTCTTTTTGCGAAAGATAAATATATCTACAAGAATCATACCTATCGTCATGCTACATAATCTTTTACAGAAAATCATCAAAAAGAAAGATGAAGTTAAACCACAAAAATACCCTGGCAAAGCTCCCGTAGACCCAAAGAAATTAGAAAACCATTCCCGTGGTGAAGGATTAAATCCTAAAAAGGTCAAACATCCATTACATGCAGCAAAGTTGAAGAAAAAGGAAAACAAATTAAATTATGCTCAGAAACAGGCAGCTAGAGCTGAAATATTATTGACAGAAGAACAAGGGTGAGATATAATTTTAAAATAACTTTAGAAATAAGATAAAGTTACTTTTAGAAATATTTAGTACCTAAAACTACCATTTTCAATATACAGGTTGCTTGAAGTAGATGAAGGTTATAAAACAACAGCTATATCCCAAAAGGTGATAGCAGAGAATGTTGACATAGCAGCAGCCACAAAGATATTTGAGCTGAACCTTGATTTTGGTCCGTACCGTGCAAAGTATTCGAGGAACGGCAGACATCTACTTCTCGGAAGCAAGAGAGGACATCTCGCTGCTTTTGACTGGGTGACTAAAAGGCTACACTGTGAAATGAATGTCATGGAATCTATACACGACATAAGGTAAATCAAAGTATTTATTGTAGAAACAACATATTATACAAAAAATGCTTGTGTAATGACTAAAAAACTAAGCTATTGTGGTAAAAAAAAGTAAGTTTTCGTTTGTGTTATTAAAGTACCCATTTCTTTAAAAATAAACCTTTTTAATCTTATTATTCTGGTTCAGGATAACACACTTTATCTACTTTCTATCTGTATTAAATACTTTTTGTCTAAATTTACAGTTGGCTTCATGTGGAGACCATGATAGCAGCAGCCCAGAAAGAATGGTTGTATATTTATGACAATACGGGCATAGAATTGCATTGTATAAAACGGATGGACAAGATTCTGCGCATGGAGTTTCTTCCCTATCATTTTCTACTAGCTGCTGTTGTAAGTATTTTATAAGACCATTATTTTCTTCTTTATTGTATAAACCTTTAGAAATATGGGTTTTTCAAGGTCATCAACTTTTTATAAACTAATTTGTAATTAACACGAAACATGTATCATATATTTTTTTGTTACAGAATGAATTTGGTTTCATGACATGGCTTGATATATCGATAGGAGAAATAGTAGGTCACTATAACAACCGTCTGGGAAGAACTGCTGTCATGACTCAGAATCCGTACAATGCTACAGTATGTCTGGGAAACTCTAAAGGTGTGGTGTCACTTTGGTCTCCGACAGTCAGAGATCCTTTGGCCAAGATATTGTGTCATGTTACTCCACTAACTGCTATAGCAGTGGACAACAGAGGAATGTAAGTAGATATTGAATTGATGTTTACTAAAATTAAAGAGCCAAATTCTTCATTTGCTGCTGATAAATTGGAGTAGATAGTGTTCCTGCAGTCCTGCTGATGATGATGATAATTAGTCTGTTTAGTACTTTAGTAGTTATGTTTGATGTTACAAAGAGTCTCATTGGAAAATTACAAGACTTGTGTTCTTTTTTGTCAAGAAATTATGTTCTTTTAGAAATATCTCAGTACAACTTTTGTGACATTACAGGTACATGGCCACAGCAGGTGTAGATCGCAGCATGAAGGTTTGGGACATCAGAAATTTGGATGGCCCTGTACAACATTACAAGTTGAGAACAGCTCCAGTAGATTTGGAGTTCTCACAAAAAGACATGCTAGCAGTTGGACTGGGAGATGTGGTGGAAATATACAAGTAGGTTTATTTTCTCTATTAAACTACATTCAGTTTTGGCTGGAATCTATTAACATGTTTTTTTTAATTTATAAACATATTTTTTTCAGCAACTGCTGCACACAGTCAGTAGATAGGCCATACTTGAGGCATAGAATGGGAAAAACAATCAATAACTTTAAATTCTGCCCATATGAAGATGTGCTCGGCATTGGAACCTCACATGGGTTCAGTAGTATTATTGTACCAGGTAATTACCCTAAATAGCCAATTTCTTGATGGTAATATGGAATTTAGTATAGAATAGGATTTTATTCATACAAAATTCTTTACAGGAAGCGGTGAACCTAACTTTGATGCTTTGGAGAGCAATCCCTTCCAAACTAAGAAGCAAAGGAAAGAAGCTGAAGTCAAGGCCTTGTTGGAGAAGATTCCTGCAGAACTTATCACGCTCAATCCATTCGAGATTACAGAAGTTGATGTGCCGACTATGCAGGAACAGATGGAAGCCAAGAAGAAACTTCTGGTATGTGTTAATTTTAGTATAAAAGAAGTATGGTTCGCGCCATTAGATTTAAGTAGTCTGGAAACATGGCCAAATTATATTGACACTGGTGTAATTATAAATCAAGGCCACTAAGAGCATTCTGGTTATAATTCAATCTATCATTACTATATTCTACTATTATAGACCTTATTCGCGCGTTCTATAGTTCCCACTTGTTCTATAGAATGATTCTAAGGTAGATCTAGTGAGTCTATAGTTTTGCATTTTTTTACTATAATTTTGTATTTTACTTCCAGTACATCAAACCCAAAAAGGTAGATTATACACCAAGGTTGAAAAACAAGGGAAAAACAAACATTGCAAGAAAGAAGATCATAAAGGATGCCGCTAGAAAGGTAAACTTTGTAGTTTTTACATTTATGATTTATTTTTCTTAGCTGAAGAGTAAATTGTTACATAATTATTACTTATTTTATAGGAATTCATTGAACAAGCTAAGGAGGCCAAGAAATTGCTGGATTTACCAAGTCAACCAAGTGCGCCTAAGAAGTCTTTTGGAGTACTAGATCGCTTTGTACCAATACCTAAAACTAAGAAATAAAAAACTATTTTATTGACTTACATTCTATTTATTTTCGTCCACATTCAGTACCTAGCTTAGGTTTAACTGATATTTACATGATTTGTCCTATTTACATTCCAAATAAACTTCTAAAATGATCAAAAATACAATATGTAATAAAAATGTCTTTGAAAAGTATAAAAAATCCAACAATGCTTAACACGGTATATCGAATAAATCACATAATCCTTCTGAGTCGCGCAGTGAAAAGGAGAAGTCGCTTTTGGTAGGCGGTGGACTTAACCGTAGCAAATAATCTGGAAATACAACAAGATATCATTAGTAAATTAATGCAAGTGTTTACCTGGATAGTGTTATGTAAACATTAACAGACATATTCCAGATTGTGGTCCAGATCTAGTTCATAATTATGTTAAAGGGATAAAAAGGAAAAAATTTTAAATTCATTTATTTGTATTGGGACTTACCATAATATTTTCTAACATTATTAAAAATATTTAATGAAGTGCTACAAACTTCATTCAATACTCTATTAGGGATGAAAAGAATCCACTGTTGTGTTTTAAAGCCTAGTAAAATAAAATTACCCCATGTGCTTCTGTGAATTTTCAGTAGCAACAAAACTGGTAGGTGACTAGGAATAAATTGATCTTAGCAAATAAAGTTACTTACTGTCATTCTCCATCATAACTCTAGATTCTGAGAGCCTTTCCACTTCACTATCCATATCTTCATCTATTGTCTGTAATTAGAGAAATGGAATAATTAATGCAAAATATTTGCAGCAGATACACAATAAAATAATGTTTTGTATGCCTATATTTCTTAAAGTTGTGAATGCTTGTACTAAAACGTTTATTTTATTTGTGTAGAGAACAATAGTGTCTGGACCAACCTTAAGAGTATTTAAGACACTATTTAAATTAAAGATTTAACAGCTAAAGTGTTACTAATATTATGAATGCGAAAGTTTGGATGTCTGGATGTTTGTTACTCTTTTCACGCAAAAACTACTGAACGGATTTTGATGAAACTTTATTATTGTTTATAACCTAGAATAACATATAGGCTATAATTTATGATGATATGTGACGAACGAAATTTCACGCGGGTGAAGCCGCGGGCAAAAGCTAGTGTAATAATAAATAAATAATTGTTACTCTATGCTACTTTATAGCATTTGCTACACTGAATGTGGTCAGGCAGGTCAAAGGGAATGCTGACCACATAATTTATGATCACTTTTAGCTGACTGCAGACTGCATCCAGTGTAGCAAATTGTTAACAAAAATTCTTGATAAGAAAACAATTTCAATTTTGAAGGCATACCTTAGCATCCTCTTTGTCACATAACAATATAACACCAATTGGGTTTGCTGCCTTCATGTGAAGAAGATACTGCGGATCTGCACCCTGAAAATGGTATAATTTCATAGTAAGTCATATTTCATTTCAAAGTAACAGAAATAATAAAGCGACTCACTGGCCTGGCCAATACATAGGTAATCTCAAGATCTGCTACAAATTGAAATTTTTAGGGGATTCAAAGGTAATTTGAGTTTCATGTTTTTGCTACTAGAAACATATTGGTGGAAATAATTTATTTTCAGGGAAGAATTAAAATGGTGAAAATGAGTAATTTGTGTAAAAAATATTATCAAATTTTATTAAGTGAAAAGTCACAGGAAAGTTTTCACCAAATTTACAATATGTCTTGTTAGTATAAGTGATTCATAAACAATTAAAACTAGGCTTATGGGACATGGTTTATGTAATTCCTAATTTTTATTATCAGAAATTCAAATATGTAACGTATAATAACAGTGTTGATAAACTTGATACTCAAATTCAAATTTTTGATACTCAGAGACACAAACAAAATTTTACTTCAGTTATTACGTAATATCAATAAAACTCACCAATGCTTTACCAGGCAATGCGCTAGCCGCCAAGTCTGTGCCAAACGGTGCCTCAATAACAAGCACTTGACTGTCTTCGAAGCAGTCTTTAACTTCTTCTGGGTTCACATACATCTTCGCCTGATTGTCAATGTCGTCCGTTACATTTTTGATGCTCTGTTCAATCCAATGTAATTGCCTGAAGCAACAACAAATTAATAAACTAGTACTTTCTAGTTTTTTACAAATTTAAGTAACGCTTAATAGTAGACGCAGACCACAGCACATGAAGCTAATGTAGTTGTAATAAAGGTGAGTTTTCAATAAAAATATATAGTCTGAATGCTGTTGTCAATACAAATACACAATAAAATAAAAATGTCTGTAACAATTACTTACTTGTCTAATAATTGCTCATGTTCCTCTAGACGGCCTATCTGCTTTCGGAGCAATGTCACTTTTTCAGTTATACTTGATGCATTACCATCAGGACCTGCACCTCTGGAATAATTGGTAAGTATAAAATAACATCAAGCTCTTAGCATTTTGGAAACCTGCATGTTTTCTTAGACAGACCTGTTGGCCAGAAAACAATATGTTGTGTGAATTTATTTAGATTCATGGCTTTAATGAACCATTGTAATCAATTACCATTTAAATGAAAAAACAGTGTAAAGCGACTCACTTCCATTGAATGCTATTTTTACTCTTCTTTTCTATCAGCCCAATGCCTTCTAACACATTGGTTATGTCGTATATTCGCCTCTTTTGTCTCACAGCGAGCAAGTCAGTAGCCTGTAATTATACAATAAAAGTTTCACTGTAAGTTTCATTCAAAATCAGTAATGTTTATTTTCTTGAACGAGTGCACTTGAAATGTCAATACAACAAACTCACGAATTTTAAATCTAAAACACCGTCTTTAGCCTTTTGCAGCAGTGACACAAATCTTATAGTTAATAAGCCCAGTGATTTTTCATATCTCTTGTAAATATCGGTCATTTTAGAATGAATATTTATTAAAGAAATAATTAATTTGTTACTGTTGATGAACAAAAATTTGCGTCGCGGCGGGATCTAATGTTGGCAGTATTGTTTGAAACAGATTAAAATAATATTTCAATCCACCATAGACAAATCGTGCAATGTATTATTTAATAATGCTACTATCAACACTACGACAATTTTAATAAAATTTTAAGTCGCATGTCTGTGGCAACCGTTGTGAGTTGTTTTTATTGCATAAGTATAGAAAAATTAAGTTGTGAATTAAAAATAACGAATTAATTTATAAAATTAATTTCAACGTTACTATAAAACAATTTAGGTAAAAAAAACAATAAATATTTGTCAAAAACTGTATTTATTAGATCATATTTTTCTTTTTGGCATTGTAAGATTTCCGTCAAATCTTTTTCAAGCAAATGTATGTTTTCAGATTCCAGTGACTGTCTCAATTCAAGCTTTCTTTTCTTCAACTCCAGCTCCTGCTCTTTAAGATTTAACTGTCTATCAATTATGTTGTCTCTTTTTTGCCTACATTCTTCTTGTCTGTTCAAATATTCGAGCCACTGTTTCTCAATTTGTATTTTGGTTTGAGCTCGATCAGATTCCAATCTATTTGCCAAGCGCATTTTCCTTAATTCTATTATGGCCTTACTTTCTAGCTTACTGGATGTGATTGATGGATATACCATGATTATTTATAGTCCAAAATATCAAATAATATAATTATGTATACTAAAAAAAAATATTACTAATTTTAAAAATGTAAATGTCTAACTAGATCCACTTTCAATTCATCATTTTACATGTAAGTAAGCAGTTGGCCTGAAATAACCTGAAATAAAACATTTTTTACATCTTTTAATATCTAAAGCACACAACTTAATACTGACAATTCGATGTGAAGTAACTATAATATAATGTTAAAAACATATTTTACATCAATAATTTTAGAACTACCTATTCTGAGATTACAATATTAATTACTTTATAATCTCCTTAGCTGGGATTACTAATAATACATAACAGTGTAATTATCAAGTTCAAGAATGACATTGTATATTATTTTATGAATGAGATGTTAACATTAACCTATTGACTCACCACATAATTATAATAAGCTAGATATTTTTGTGCTCAGCAGCCAGCAGCAGGCAAACTACGTACGAGGCAGACAGAATTGTTTTTTGACAGCCTAATAGTTTTTCTACCACAGATTAGGTACAAAGTAATGTTTTACTACGTCCGTCACTGTCATCATTAAATTTACTGAAAAGCTCATCATTTGTCTCACTTTTTCACTGGCAAAATTAAATTTAATTTATTTGGTTGTTTAATGTTTATACAAACAAACGGAGTCCTTGTTGTCAAAAGTTCTTATGATAGTAAAATTTTATTATTTTTTAGGGATTGTGTGTTAGGGGAGAAAATTTTGATTGTGAGACGTGAATTATCAGATTATTGTTTGTGTTAGAAATATTGCTAATAAGCTAATAAGTATGCAAGATCCTAAGCTTCTCATTTGGTTAAGTGAATCAAAATTCAGCAGTAGTGATGAAAGTGAATCTAGTAGCTGGAGTGATGGTAGCATTGTTGGGGTTGAATCAGAAGAATATCAAGAAGATTATAACGATGATCAGCTATTTTTTCCTTTAATGCAATATTTGATAAGACGAAGAAGAAAAAGAGCAGATGATTATTTGCATATTATAGATTCATGGAGTGATATAGAATTTAAAAGTCGCATGAGGATATCAAGAAAAACTGCTCTAAAGCTTATTGGTAATTTTGACAAATGCTTCATTCATCTACTTATCTATTTATTTTATTGATATTTTCCGACAAATAATTATTCACTACTTTCTATAAAATGGAAAGGATTTAATAACTGTTATTTTGATATTTCAGATGATCTTGGGAAATCTGGATTCATAGCATCTCACAAATTTGGACTGAAACCACTGGAACCCAAACTATGTTTTTACATATTTTTATCATTTATTGGTACCACCGAACCATTAACACCTATAGCAAGCAGATTTGATATATCTATATCGTCAACCTTTCGTGTATTAAGGAGAGTTATTGCATGGATATTGACTAAATTAGATGATGCTGTAAAATGGCCTCAAGAATTCAATGAAATAAAATCGGTATGTGATACCTTTGAAATAAAAACAGGAATTTCAAATATAATAGGAGTCATTGACGCGTCTCATATAAAAATCGAGAAACCAAAAAATGCTCGGGACAATGCAATAAAAAGGGATATTATTCAATAATCCTACAAGCCACCGTAGATTCAAATATGAAATTCACAAACATATTTTGTGGAGAACCTGGCTCTTCTAATTGTTCTCGCGTGTTGAAAAAATCTCCTTTGTACAATACTGCAATGCAAAACCGAAATGCCTTGTTTCCACATAATACGTTTCTAGTAGGTCATTCGAGTTACCCATCACTGCCATGGTTAATCCCACCGTTTAGAGAGAACAAGAAACTTACGGCACAACAAAGAGAATTCAATACTTTACACACATCCACCAGAAAAATTAGTGAAAAAGCTTTTAATCTATTGAAAGGAAGATTTAAGCGCGTAAAAGTGTTTACAATATATAGAAATATAACATTTATAACAGATACTGTGGTAGCAGCTTGTATATTACACAATTATTGTATAAGTGAGAGTGACGATAACGATAATAGATAATAAATTTATTGTGATAGTGAAGATGAATTTCCATGTTAAGTAAGAGTACCTTTCCAATATCATTGTAGCAGGTACGTAACCTACATTTTTTTTAAATTTTGTTTAATAATATTACACTGTGTGATAATGATATTGAATAAAATATATTTTTCTATTTCTATTTATGATTATTGCTATAATATTTCTCGAAAAATATTGGAATTGTTATATTTTGTAGCAGTAGGGTAAAAGGTATTACCGGTTTTATCAACAACTGATAAACAACACCACAAATTATTAACAACACAACAAAATAAATATAATTATTATAATTATAACAATAAGAAGATTATGATTCATTAGCCAGTAATTTTCTGAGTAATGCGCATTTCTCCCTTTCAATTTTAAGCATTTCTTCTTGTTTTCTTTCTCTTAGTTGTAACTTTTTCAAAGCTAGTGAATGTTTCATTTCCAACTCCTTTTTTCGTAACTGCAACTCTTCTTCTCTTAACCTTAAATTCCTTTCGAATCTTTCGTCTCTTATACTTCGTTGCTCGTCTTGTTTTTGTATGTATTCAATCCATTGTTTATCTAATTCTATTTTAGCTTTTCGCTCAGCTCTGAGTTTTCTGTAAGGCACAGAGTTTTTCATGGACATATTTTTTAAACACCTCTCTTTATTTGAACTTTCTGGACCATGCATTACTCCTGATGCCAGTCTATATGTTCCACTAGCGTCACTGTGTAGTCCAAGAATTTGATTCATTTCATTGAAGTATTTGAACGCAGATGATCCCTGGCCATTATCAATGCAATCTTTATATTTCTTGGTAAGGGCATTTATTTTCCACCTAACTTGGTCTGGCGTTACCTAAAAATATCAGAGAATAGTGAAATAAAATAAATCAATGTATTTTTTTACCTAATCTTATTAAAATTAGAACTTGTTATCAATATAATTTATGCTATTACCTCAATACCCATAGCCTTTAACTCTTCAGCTATAGATGTCCACATTTTGGATTTCTTTTTCGGATTATCTAACATAGACATTTTGGTTTCATATAAGCTTAAAAGTGTAATGGTTGAGTTTTTTGTCCACACAATACCTAGAAGAAAAATACGTTGCATAAAGATCTAAAGAGTAGACTTGGTTATTTATGATAAGCAGTGGTTAACTAACCGATCTAAATTATTTTGTTTACTTACTTTGCTTATTGTTTTCTATACCATCGATTTCTTCTTGGTTAAAAGTATGGCTGTGAGTTTGGCTGTGGTTGATAGTGCTGTGTTCATGATTATGAGTATGATATTCAGTCATACTCAAAGAAGGTTTGTATGCTTCAGCCGCTAAAAACACCATAAATTATTAAAAATTAGTTTTGGAATAAAAATAATTAAAGCGAATAAGTAGTTACTGTTTCCATTTTAAATACAATTTTATGTTTTAAAATATTAATTAACGACATCAGATTTATTTGTTATGTTTACTAACATTGGCTATCCAATATTGCCAAAACAGAAACATTGTTAGCGACAATGTTATCATCCATTTTGTGTAAGGTGTTTTCCAACAAAACACACAATAGAATTTGTGATGTTTTACTGTGTTAAATGTGACACACTATGCACGCACTGGCAGATAAAATATTATCATTATTATGTGCTTTTTACTGTTTAAGAAAAAAAAAAAACAAAAGATTAAATTAAATTGCTTTGCATAACTTAAAAGTGATTTTTCATGCACACAATCACTTTATTTTTTTGTCGAATGAAGTCCAAAGATCTGTCATTTTGACAACATTTTGAACGTTTAGAAACGTCATTCCAAAAATAATTAAACAAATACATTTTTTTAGCGCTGAGCTTTTTTATATAATTATTTTAGGAAAAATAATATTGGTATTGGACCACTGTGTCAATAATTTCCCATAAAAAAAGCTGTGCCACAAATATGCGTTTTTGTAAAGTCTGGAGCATAACCGTTACATTAATTGTAGAAGACGGTATTAGTCTATGATTATTTTTCATATTTTTAGGTTGCATGCATTGGCAAAATGACACCAAATGTCATTGTGACAATTTAACACCACGAATCAATTTGTTCATTCCATTCGCTCATTCATTCCACAGATTCATTCACACAATTCACAAATCAATGAGAGAATCTTGTGCTGCGTATGAAAATAAATGTTAAAACTTTAAGTAATTGAGCAACTTGGTTCTAAACACAGATATGGATAGATGCAGCATGTGTCAAAAATTGTATGAAGCCGAGCGTGCCACTTTTTAAACGTCATTAGTGTCATTTTAGCGAATTTTAGTGATTGCCGCAACGTAAAAGTAATCGTATCATCGTACTGCATTTGCAAAGTCATCGAATGATATCGTGTGACTCGATTCGAAAATTAATTAATTCCGACAAAACTGATAATTTGTTAAATACAAAACCAAAAACATCTTTATTTACCTTTTTAAAATAACTTAATTCTTACAAATCGTCAAATCTCGTTATTTTTTTTACCCTACCAGCGTTTTAAGACATAAATTTGTCAAGTGCATGAATAGGTACATGGATCAGTGTGCGTCTTATTGTTATGAGTAAGTACGGTTCCTTGGGATCGGTATGAGTGCACCACATACAGGGACCATGGTTTTAACTCTTAAGAGTACATCGCAGGATATTGTATTAAAAACAATGCTACTTTATACTTCTTCTACTGCTACTTTATTATTAATTATTTGTTACTTGTGATGTTATTTACAATTCTCAATCCGTAAATAATTTCTTCTTTCTACTGTGTTCGTACTACTATCCTCGTAAAATCATCGTAACCGATTGTTGTAATCGGATTACATGAACATCACTCGACCATGTATGTCCATTTGGACATATCGGAATGGCACGCTTTGACGATCAACTTGCTGTATCTACTCTAATCCATATCTGTGGTTCTAAACCAAGTTTGAAAAGCTTAAAAATATGGCCCGTTGTGGTGACTATATCAAAAGCCAATTTCCGCTGATTGACGACGAGCTGAAACAATATGTTGAAGGTATGTAAGGTTATAAACTCTTCACGGAATAAAGATCTTAAAACAATATTCGATTTGATTTGTAGAGTAGATAAGCCTTATGAGCGGCTTTAATTAACATGATCTGTTACACGCCTTTATGTAGCCGCAGTCAAAATACACTGTGTCTACTTAATTTTATTTAGGACTGATTTTGGAACCTCCCTTTTTCTGTTATTGTTGTATGTTGTACATTTTCTCAAAATCTGCTTCAGATATTCTCGACAATAGTGCGGGTGAATTTGAAGACACTGAAGAGGTTTTCGAAGCTGTAGGAGAGGTCTTGCAAAGCATTTCACAGAAATCAGAAGCAGATATAAGGTATCTATCATAACACCTTTACTTTTCTCTTTATTATACACTAGCGATCCGCCCCGGCTTCTCACGGGTGCTAAGTATACTTAAAAACCTTCCTCTTGATCTCTTGATCTCAATCTGTTAATAAAACCACATCAAAATCCGTTGCATAGTTTCAAAGATCTAAAAATACATAGAGACAGACAATGGAAAGCAACTTTGTTTTATACTATGTAGTGAAGCGATTACTATTATAATAATATCACTGTTTTATCATACCCAATTAGACTTTGCTTGCTACTATCCAATTGAGTTTAATAAACCAGCGATAATGTCATTGTCTTAATATTTATTTCATGATTATCAATATCCTTTTTATAATTGTTTCTGCAATTTATGTCAGTATAATTTTATAGAATGTCTTTTTTACAGTTCCAGTTATATTCTGATAATTAGCAACTTCAATTTTATAAGCATTCTGGAAAAAAAGGTTGTTCAATTTTGTTTTCAGGGAAATATGTGAAAAGCTTTTACATATGCTACAGCCAGAAAAAACTGGAAACAGTAACGGGTTAACTAAAGTATTGGACGCGCCTATTCACTTGGCATCGATGACAACAACTCACACTGAAACCGATGATCTCAAAAGCATCTGGCTGCAAACTAGGGACGATAGCTTAGTAAGTAATCACTAAACGCTTAAAACTTGCTTTGAAGAATGTTTTGAAAAAAAGAACACAAACTTCAAGATAGGTGTACAATATATTATATCATTATGTAATTAGGGATTGCAATCCGGTCCGGCGGATCCGGTAATCCGGCGGATCCGGTGTGTTTTTGGACCTACCGGATCCGGTAAGTCGGCACCGGATCCGGCATAAAGCAAAAAATACTCGAACATGAACTGGGAAAGTCGAGCGCGCGCGTATTTGCCAGAATTTATAAGTACAAATTTAAAAGACTGTTGTTGATTTAAGTCTGTGTAAATTATTAATAAGAGTTTAATAGTATTATTACTTAAGTACTTTCAGATACTTACATACAGCAATAAGTGAGAGTCAGACTGATTACTAACTTTATTATTTAGAATTTTCATAATTTTAGTACAAATAGTACGTACTTACCAAAAATTATAATTCATACCGAAAAATATAAATAAAAGTGACTTTATTTTCCATAAATACGTATTTTATTTTTCTTTTTATGTATTATTATCAAAACTAAAAATCACTAAATACTAGACCAAGTAACTTTGCAATCCGGCCGGATCCGGCCGGATTAGCGTCAACCCGGTAAAATCCGGCCGGATTGAAAATTATACCGGATTGCAATCCCTATATGTAATCCTCATGGTCTTAATTATGGTTTAAATACAAAAAAACATTTATTAAAGGATTTGAAATAATGTTTAAAATGTGGTTGGAGTATGTTATTAAATGTTTTATGTATTGATTTTCAGAAAGTAGACGCAAAGAAATTAGAAAAGGCTGAGGCGAAATTGCAACAGAAACAGCAAAAACAGAAAGACTCTAAAGCTCCCACTGCTGCGCCTGTGTTGCAAACGGCTACAGCGTCACAGGTTACGTCTAAAAAGGACAGCAAGCTAGAAGCAAAGGGAACCAACCGCACACAGGATATTAGGATAGAAAACTTTGACATTGCATATGGGGACAGGTGAGTTCATATGATTTACTTCTCAGCACCAACCCATATGTCCCAAAGTGGTAGTAGGGCAAGCTATATTTGGGATGTGTATAAGTGACACAGCTTATGACCTCTTACTGTGGAGGAACACTATGTTTTCGAAGCTGTAGGAAAAGTTCGAAGAAGAAGATAAGTGCCCTGTGGGGTTACTCCGAAAAAATTTCCAATGTTGCCATCTCCCTTACGCAAAGTGGCATGCCAACATTAGGGACAGTGAGAGATAGTCCCGAAACTACGGAAACGGCGTTTCGGAGTAGCCCTGCTGGGAAGGGCCCATATACTGAATAAACTATTTGATTTGATTACTAGTCACTGTCTTGGCTGGGTACAGCCTGCTTCTGCCAGTGACTATTACAAAACTAATTCACTATAACTTCTGCAACACATTAGCTCATAGCTTAACACAAAATTGGTATTCTAAAGAAATCTTTACTTTATTTTTCCAGAGTGCTATTACAAGGAGCTGACCTGGTTCTAGCCTGCGGACGTCGCTACGGCCTCGTAGGCAGGAACGGACTCGGAAAGACGACACTCCTCAGAATGATTTCAGCTAAACAATTGAAAATACCTTCTCATATCTCCATCCTACATGTGGAGCAGGAAGTAGTGGGAGACGATACAATAGCGTTACAGAGCGTTTTAGAATGTGACACGGTTAGAGAAAATTTGTTGAGGAGGGAAAAGGAAATCACAAATGCTATCAATAATGGGTAAGTGTGGTCTTTTATTTATGATTTCTTTCATCAGCTGTTGCCAGTAGGGCACTATAACATATTTTGTTATGCCAAATATTATTCTTATTGGAAATTATAACAATGTCATCTTTCCTATTTACAGTGATGTAGATCTAAAATGCGCGCCGCGATAAGCGGTTATCACGCCATTTTATCGATTTTGCCCATACATTTTGACGTCGATAAAAGTTATCACAGCGCGCATCTTACGCCTGCTGGCGTTATTAAAAATGAACCCTAGCACAACTTATTGAGTTTTTATCGAACAGGCAATAGAACATGTAGGTTTAATAACCAAAAATCTTTCCAGCTCAACCGACCCGAGTCTCTCGAACGAGCTAAGCGAAGTGTACGCTCAACTAGAGAACATCGAGTCGGACAAGGCTCCCGCGCGAGCTTCTATCATCCTCAGCGGTTTGGGTTTCACGCCAGAGATGCAGGCGCGAGCTACCAAGACCTTCTCCGGAGGCTGGCGCATGAGGCTCGCGCTGGCCAGGGCGCTGTTCTCAAAGTGAGTTACAAATACAGGGTGTGTTTCTCAGCTGGGAACATCGAGGCAGACGAGGCTCCCGCGAGCTTCTATCATCCTCAGTGGTTTGGGTTTCACCACGCCAGAGATGCAGGCACGAGCTACCAAGACCTTCTCCGGAGGCTGGCGCATGAGGCTCGCGCTGGCCAGGGCGCTGTTCTCAAAGTGAGTTACAAATACAGGGTGTGTTTCTCAGCTGGGAACATCGAGGCAGACGAGGCTCCCGCGAGCTTCTATCATCCTCAGTGGTTTGGGTTTCACGCCAGAGATGCAGGCGCGAGCTACCAAGACCTTCTCCGGAGGCTGGCGCATGAGGCTCGCGCTGGCCAGGGCGCTGTTCTCAAAGTGAGTTACAAATACAGGGTGTGTAGCTCAGCTGGGAACATCTTTAAATAGACTTCGGACGCAGGTTGGCCGTAGTAAGGACAATCTGGTCGGGTGGGGATT